GCTGCTGCTGCTGCCTTGTTACTGTGCTAATGCTGCTGTACTGGCCTGCTACTGCTGCCTAATGCTTGCTGCTGCTGTGCTTGCTGCTGCTGCTGTGCTGCTACTGCTGCTGCTGTTTGTTGTTGCTGCTGCTGCTAATGCTGCTGCTACTGCTGCTGACTGCTGCTGTTGTTGCTGCTAATGCTGCCTGCTGCTGGCTGCTGCTGTGCTAATTTTGCTGCTTGCTACTGCTGCTAATACTACTACGTTGCTGCTTTACTGGCTGCTACTGCTGCTGCTGCTGCCGTTGCTGCTGCTGCCGTGCTACTGCTGCTAATGCCTGCTGCTACTGCTGGCTAATGCTGTGCTGCTTTGTGGACGCTGATCAACGAGAGAGGAGAGACAGAGAAGCTCAGGCTGTCTCGGTTAGTTGCTGAGCAGCCGATAGATTCTAGCTGTCATTTAATCTATGCAGCAGGGCACCGAGGCTCGCGACATCAACAAGTGGCGTGGTGCGTGCGTGCGCGCGTTACTGTGCGTAGCGGCGGTGCGTTGCGTCGCTGCGTGCGTCGACCCCGTGCTTAACAGCTCTATTTTGGAATCTTCTTTAGGACATCGTATTATCGAAAAGGTGACGCATGTGGACAGGAGATCACTGAAGCTGTAATCCGCTAATAGCTTTTTTCGTGCCTGTTCGCGTCTTTCGAATGTTGGCGACAGTAAACGACAGACGAGCACTTCATATTTTATATCTTTATGATATACGTCACACGAACTCAACACACTGACGTTTTGCGATTGATCCGGACTGACCAGAACCGCTCTCCGCGAGGCCACTGCTCCCACAGGTGCCGTATACAGATCCGTTACAACTAGGCTCGCGAGTTGGCGCAGGCTAGGAATCTGGCTGGAGAAACTTGCGGCGCGGCTCAGCTCGCTTGCTCGTAACACTCCCGGGGGCCAGGCTGTCGGTATATACGCACACACACGCACGCGCACACACGCACGCACGCACGCTCGCACGCACGCACTCCAGCACAACACACACACACACACACACACACCACGACCGACAACCACACACACACACACACACACACACACACCACACACACCACCGCAACAGCCCACACCCACACCCACACATGCACACCCACGTGAAAGACCAGACATATATACATAATACGTTTCTATAATATACGACGTTCTAGTATCACTATAGTTTCCACCGGCTTTTGCGATTCATTTCCTCACCAGATATTTCGTAAAAGCGATATGCACTATATTTGCTGCTGGCCCCGATGGATCGCTAATCGTAATACACGCATTTCTAGCTCACGTAAAATTCACTTCTATTGACGTTTCACTGCGGATATTAACTCTAAGAGCAGTTCGTAATTTAATCAGACCACCCTACAAAACAACCGAACAATTTCGTTACACAGTCGGGTGGATTATTGTCTGGCGTTGCAATGCGGCCAATCATTAAATATTTTTCCCTAAGAAACGTCACGGGCATCCTGACACGTCACGTTCATTTACCTTTGAGACGTCTTCGACCCCTCCTGAGATGAAAGTGCCTCCGGTATTTAGATGAGGACATTTCGCCGATTTACTTTGTCATGCTATGGGTCAACTACCGGCCAGGAATGCATGTTATTGCATAGCATAAGGAAACCGATCATTTCAGCTGTCTCACGCTAGCGAATGTCGTGTGTGGTGTGTGCTGCTGTGTGTGTGTGTGGCGCGTGTGTGTTGCGCGCGCCATGTGTGTGTGGTGTGTGCGTGCGTGCGGTGCGTGCATGCGTGCGCTTGCGTGTGTACGGCGTCGAATTACGTATGTGGTGTGTACGTAAAGGGACAGTGGCCTCCGTATTTACGATAGAGGACTTTCGCCGCATTGATCATGCGAACTACGGCCAGGAATGCATGTCATTGCATAGCATATAGAAACCGATCGTTTCAGCTGCTCTCACGCTTGCAAATGTGTGTGTGTGTGTGTGTGTGGTGTTGTTGTGTGTCGTGTGTGATGGTGCAGTGTGTGTGTGGCGTCGTGTGTAGTGTGTGTGTGTTTGTGGTGTGTGTGTGTGTGTATGTGGGTGTGATGTGTGTGTGTGATGTATGTGTTGTGCTGTGTGTGTTGTGTGTATGTGTGTGTGATTGTGTGTGTGTGTGTGTGTGTGGTGCGGTGTCTGTGCGTGCGTGCGTGCGTGCATGCGTGCGTGCGTGTGTTACGGGCCGTCCAATGGCGCGTGTTGTGTTGTCCTCACAGCGAACCATCGTGTACGTGCGTGATCATGCTCGTGTGCATCCTCTGGTCGATGAATAGCTTTCCTGAGAGACTGTTAATCTGTCGATGAGTGCTTAGGATGAATGAGCAACGGCGACGCAGATTCAGCAGCCGCGCAGCAGCAGCAGCGGTGGATAGCAGCATTCAGCAGCCGCCCAGGCAGCAGCAAGCGGTGATAGCAGCGCATCAGCAGCCGCAGCAGCAGCAGAGCCGGTAGATAGCAGCATCAGCAACCGCAGCAGCAGCAGCAGCAACAGCAGCAACAGCAGCAACAGCCGCAACCGCAGCAACAACAACAACCGCAGCAGCAGCGCGCGCGGCGACAGCAGCAGCAGCAGCAACCGCGGCGACAGAAGCAGCAACAGCAACCGCAGCAACAGCAGCAACAGCAGCAGCAGCAACAGCGGTGACTACGGCTGCTGCGGCGGCGGCAGCAGCAGCAGCAGCACCAGCAGCAACTGATAGTTGTTCAGGGCTTGAGTCAATGACTCTCGTCGTTCCCCGCGCACGGTTCCAGTGTCCGTCGCCACCTATTCTCTTACTGTTTACTGCTGTTTACTGTTGCTAATCACGCTATACTCAGCCGATGCTATTTCATGCACATACAGGCATTGTCTGTCGCATTATCAGTGGTATTATTGTAGGCAGGTCCCCACTAATGTGTTAATGTCCATCCCACGCGTAGCCCACATTGGTAAGTGCTGCCTATTAATTGCACCCTTGATTCGGGCAGGTCATCGCTAATGTGTTAATGTATACATACTACACGCCTATCGAGGTTTTATCAGAACTAATTAACGCGGTTGATAAATTGTGATGCGTTTACTGACACCCGTCTTAGAACCAACACATCGCAAACAAACATATACTCGTAAATGCTAAGTGATGTAAAACTGTTTAATAAATAATTGATTAATAAATCGAGCCATAGTTGCGGTGTTCATACGCAACGTAAGTTGATGTAAGAGCATTTAATAAATAAATAATTAATTAATCAGATATAAGGTGTCGGATTACGCGGTTGCGCGAGCCATAGCCGCAGTGTCAACATCGAACCTTCCTGTAGATCTAACGGCTGGCGACAGATTAATGATTTTATTTCGTTACGTCTCATTTCATCTAAAGCTTTCGTTTCCCGCTGTGTCGAATGTAATATACACCACGGGCGCTCTCTAACGCGCACGACGCACGCTATAACACTAGGTACAGCCACGAAGTGTATTGCATTTTTGTGTTATAGTGAACGGCAATTTTGTTATTTATTTACGATTTTATCCGTTTCTTCGTAGCCGATTTAAATCGGTAGATTAGCGCGCATGACGAGTGCCCCTCGTAAAAATAAATTTGATTTTACATTAGCATAATTTTTCAAATCTTTATAATTACACCAGCCATCACGATTAATTGTTATTTAATGAGCGCTACGGTACTAATTATAACACAATTACGTCACCAGTCACGTGGGTTGTTGGCCAACGTGAAAGGCACGACAATGTAACAATTAACGAAAACAATAATAGGCACAGTGACAATAATGATGCGGATGATGGAGAAGAAGGAGAAGAAGAAGAAGAAGAAGAATATATTGATGTTGATAGTAATAACAATAATAACTAGAGCACTCGGAGAGCGCAGACCTCCGCCAAGGCAGCTCAATTCTCTCACTGTGAAATTTTTTATTAATTAATCAATTAAATAATTAATTGGATCCGGATCACCACCAAAATGTAATCAATTCTAAGTTACCTCATTTCTGACCTATCTTAAAAATTTAATTAATTAATTGGATCCGGATCGCCACAAAAATCTAATCAATTCCAAGTTAGCCCATTTCTGACCTATCCTGAAAATTTTATGACAATCCGTCCATAACTTTTTTGTGTGTGTGTGTGTGTGTGTGTGTGTGTGTGTGTGTGCGTGTGTGCGTGTGTGCATGTGTTTAAAACGCGTACACATCTGGCTCTAGAGAATCTCTATTCATCTACTCCTGATAAAAAGGATAATATTGCATGCTTTTACGGTATTCTCTCTTATTTTTATATACTTGCTTTTTTTAACCCTATATAATTATTATCTGATAATATTACATGTGTGTTATTTTTATATACTTGCTTTTTTTAACCCTACGCCGCCTTGCTGTGTCGGCGATTTCCACAACAGCAACTGGATTATATCAATATTTTAATGTTTGTTACAGACAGAGAGGAACCAGCAAGGTAGCGCATCTATGACGTAGGCCATCACCTACTTACGTCATCACCCGAAAACGTCGTAACCTCCAATGTGTCAGGCAAAAAACAGAACATAATATGTGGCGCTAAAAAAGCAAGCAGCATTCGGTACGACTCTCTGCATTCACCGATTGTAAGATCGACCTCGACGCACATAACACTAGCGCCATAATAATACATACAGCGCTCGCAACGCTGAGAAAAATTATACAATTTTTGCGACTTCCGTCAATTGGTCGACTAATGTTGCCAATGATGACAATTGTTGCCGTGAAGCGGAGCTAGTTAATGCGCAGATAGGCGAACAGTAGCATCAGTCGAACGATGACACGCAGCGCCACCACCGGCGCGATGTATAACTAGCGGTTGCTTCACCGCCCCCTACAAAAAGCTCGTACGGCTCGTATCGCTAGACGCTTTTCGCTCGACTTTCCGAGCCTCGCCGCCCCACCATGCACCTATCCGACGAGGGCACGCCCTGCACGAAATCGGGCCGAAAGATGGCGCCAGCGCACAAGTACGGCGCCTACTGGGCGATCACCTACCCGAAGCGACACCCGATGGAATTCGTCGCCATCTTCTCGACGGGGTTTTTCCTTTCCGGCATACTGCTGCTGTCGGCAGGCTACGTCGTCCCGCGACACGACTACGACGACGCCGACGAGCCGACCGCCGCCATGACGGAGGCCGAGCAGCGCCAGATGGCGCACCGGGCGTTCCGACTCGACGTCTGCATCATCGTCGGCCTGACGCTCGTCTGCACGTCGGCCGTCACGCTCGTCGTCGTGCTCATCGCCGTCACGTGCCACATGGGTCGCAAGGACTACAACGAGTTGCGCTGTCGGCAGCGGCTGGTCGGCAACGACGTGCCGACGTCGACGACGCTGCATGCCGTACAGCCGGCGGCGCGAGATCTCTACTACTACGACAACTCGGTGGATAACATGGTCTATACGGAGCAGTGACGCGATGCCCAGTGACTAGCGAGACAAACTCTCTATAGCAACTTCTCTAATCGCATTACCTAGTAGTTTCTCTATACTACTACTACCAGGAGTAAGATAATATAGGTAAGGTATAATAAGGTAATCCTATATTATCTTACTCCTGCTACTATACTACTACTACTACCAGGAGTGTCATAATATAGACTATATAATGACACTTAGTATATTATGACACTCCTGTTACTACTACTAGTAGTACTCTATATACAGCAGTCGGGTGAGTTGCAGTGAGCTATACAAAGCAGTGACGCGAAGAATTATTGTCTGTCGTTAGTTTGTACCAAGGTTGTATTAACTACTAAGGTCGGCTTGGGTAGTTCCTCTAACCGGATAACTAAACAGTTTTCTCAACCGAATGACTGAATAGTTTCTCTAACTGAATAGTTTATCTAACCGAATAACCGAGTATTTCCTCTAAAAAAATAACTGAATAGCTTCTTTAACCGAATAACTGAGTGTTTCCTCTAACAAAATAACTAAATAGTTTCTGTAACCAAATGACTGAATAGTTCCTCTAACCGAATGGCTGAATATTTCTTCTAACCGAATGCCTGAGTTCTTTCTCTAAGCAAATAAACTGACTAGTTCTCCATTAATAAGACAACCCGCGTGTGATCAACACGCAACTGTAACGCAAAGCCCTACCTGTCAACTAGTCGTATACCTAATTGTAATAAGTACTAAGCTTGGTGACTATAATTATAATTAACGGCAGAGCAGAGCAGAGCCAATTTGTCCTCTAACCGAATAAACCGAATAAGTTTCTCTAGCCGGGAGAGCTGCTGCTGCTGCTGCTGCTGCTACTACTAATACTGCTGCTACTGCTGCTACTGCTGCTACTGCTGCTGCTACTGCTGCTGCTGCTACTGCTGCTACTACTACTGCTACTGCTGCTGCTGCTGCCGTTGCTGCTGCTACTACTGCTGCTGCTGCTGCCGTTGCTTCTGCTGCTACTGCTGCTGCTGCGGCTGTTGCTACTGCTGCTGCTACTGCTGCTACTGCTGCTGCTGCTACTGCTACTACTACTGCTACTGCTGCTGCTGCTGCCGTTGCTGCTGCTACTACTGCTGCTGCTGCTGCCGTCGCTTCTGCTGCTACTGCTGCTGCTGCTGCGGCTGTTGCTACTGCTGCTGCTACTGCTGCTACTGCTGCTGCTACTGCTGCTGCTGCTACTGCTGCTACTACTACTGCTACTGCTGCTGCTGCTGCCGTTGCTGCTGCTACTACTGCTGCTGCTGCTGCGGCTGTTGCTACTGCTGCTGCTACTGCTGCTACTGCTGCTGCTACTGCTGCTGCTGCTACTGCTGCTACTACT